AGATCACCCTGGCACCCGGTCCATTTGGTGGGACTGGCTACAGTGTCATCACAGCACCCCCTATGGAGGAGGGGACATCGGCTCCTGGCACACCTTACAGGTGAGACCTGCTGCCCGCAAGACCCCCTTCAGCCATTTATAAGGTATGCTGGGAGGTGCCAGAGAAGGGCTCTGCCTGCTCGAGCTTAGTTGGCAGGAGGCAAAAATCCTAATACATACCATGTGATTAGCCATCGGAGTCTCTCTTATTAGGAGGTTGGAAGCTACTATTTCTTGGTCTCTTAGATGTTCCAGGCACTAGACCTAAACACCTAAACATTTGGTGCACTCACCAAAACCATTCTCGTGAGATCCAGGTGTCCCTCATCTCACAGGTGAGGAAGTAGGCCAGGGACATTGAATAACTTACCTAAGGTCAGATATGTAGTGAGGAGTCGAACTTTGGGTTTCAAAACCATGTGCTCTTTGTTCTGGGTGATCCCTGAACACACCTGGGTGATTCCAGTTCTGACCTCCAGAGCCAGCTCAGGCTCCTTGCCGGCATTGGAGGCCTGACAGCTGCCCTGTGTCCTCCACACCCAGCAAGTTCAGGGCAGAAAGACTGTGTGCTCGCTGCACTCCTGGGCAGCCTAAGAAAGCCCTTAATCCAAGCACCAAAGTACCACAGTGTGTGGCTGGGGTGGAAAGCAGGACCCCTGGGCTGGCGGCAGGCAGCCCAGTCTCCACATCTGCCCTCCACTCTCGGCCGCTGCTTGCCTCCCGCGCTGGCCCGCCCGCTGCCACACTCGGCCAGACCCGGGCTGGAGCGCTGGGCTTCGCTGCCTCACCGCCATCATCCCTCAGTTGATGACTTTCTCGGGGAAGAGGACTCCTGTGGCCTTCCATCCCCTCCTAGAACCCCACCTCCTCCCCCCCCCTTGGTGCCCACAGCGAGGAGCCCCCAGGGGAGGCAGCCCAGGCCGTGGTCGTGAGCGACACCCTGAAAGAAGCTGGCACCCACTATATCATGGCAGCCGATGGGACGCAGCTGCACCACATTGAGGTGAGGCTTGGGGTGGCTGACCCCGCCCCCACTCCCCGTCAGTCCCCCCCCCACCCCGATCCTCCCCAGTCCATCACGCTCCCCCATCTGTCTACAGCTGACTGCGGATGGTTCCATCTCCTTCCCGAGTCCAGATTCGCTGGCCCCTGGAGCCAAGTGGCCGCTGCTGCAGTGTGGGGGGCTGCCCAGAGATGGCCCTGAGCCCCCATCTCCAGCCAGGACCCACCGGGTGGGAGACCCCCAGGGCTCTGCCTCCCCACCTCCTACAGCCAGCAAAGCCCCGGGCCTGGTAGTACCCCCCTCGCCGCCACCTGCAGGCACGGCATCATCAAAGAAGTTTTCCTGCAAGATCTGTGCTGAAGCCTTCCCTGGCCGAGCAGAGATGGAGAGTCACAAACGAGCCCACGCCGGGCCTAGTGCCTTCAAGTGCCCCGACTGCCCCTTCAGTGCCCGCCAGTGGCCCGAGGTCCGGGTAGGTGCTGCCCCCTGGTGCTCATTTGGCCACTTGTTTGTGTAACAGACTTTAACTGAACACTGCAAGCCAGGCCCGCGCTGTCCCTCTCTGGGGTCGGAGAGGACTCTGTGAGGCCTCAGCATTGAGGGAGCTCTGTCTGGTGGGGAAGCAAACCAGACGGTGTGACTAATGCCCCACGGTGTCCCCAGTGTGAACAGAATGCATATGGCGGAGCAGAGACAAACCGGGAACAGGTCGTGTGGACTCGGGGTGCTGGCAACAACCAGGCTGGGCCCGTAGGGACAAAGGCACAGGCACGGCAGCACCAGGCACGTTTAGGGAAACACAAGGCATCTAGAATAGGGAACGCACACGGTACGAGGAAGGTGGTGGAGACAACATGGAGAAGGCGAGGAGGGAGTAGTTCTGGGTAGAAGGCGGGGGTCCCTTTTGAGGAGCACCAGTTTTCACTGCCACCATGCACCAGATCCTCACAGCAGCTCAGTGAGGGGAGCAGGGCCTAGAACCCTAGAACATCAGGGCTGGAGGAGACCTCCAGGGAGGGGTTCCTTCATCTGAAGCTGTACCTTATGTGACATGGCAGTAACCTGAATCGAAGCAGGGACAGGACTTCCTAAGTGACCTAATGGCGGGGCCTGTGACTTTGCCCTCTCTTGGCACACAGCAGCACCAGGTCTTGGTCTGGTTTGTACTTGTCACCCAGTTCTTCCATCTGAGGACAGACTCCCCAACAGTTGTCTCAGTGGGAGGCTGCTTGTCCTCACCTGGCCAGTGCCCCTGACTCTGCTCCTGCTCCAGGCCCACATGGCACAGCACTCGAGCCTGCGGCCCCACCAGTGCAGCCAGTGCAGCTTTGCCTCCAAGAACAAGAAGGACCTGCGGCGACACATGCTGACCCACACCAACGAGAAGCCTTTTGCGTGCCATCTCTGCGGGCAGCGGTGAGGCTGGGGACAGGTGGGTAGGGGCTGCTGGGCACGTGTGACGGGACTGCCCTGAGCCTTCTTCCCTCCCCCACAGTTTCAACCGGAATGGGCATCTCAAGTTCCATATCCAGCGGCTGCACAGTCCTGATGGGAGAAAGGCGGGGACACCTACTGCCCGGACCCCAGGCCGGACCCCCACCCAGACCATCATCCTGAACAGTGATGATGACACGCTGGCCACGCTGCACAGTGAGCCACCCCTGGCAGACCAGGGTGGGTGCTGGGGCACCTCTGGTTTCCCTGGATCCGCTGTGTGAGCACCCTCTCTTCTCTGCCCAGCTGCACTCCAGTCCGGTCATGGGGTCCTGGGGCCAGAGCGGCTACAGCAGGCACTGGGCCAGGAACACATCATTGTCGCCCAAGAGCAGACAGTGACCAATCAGGTGAGAGCCTGGGTTGGGGCCCTGCTGGCAAGTCACAGGCTGGGGTGGGGGCTGGCAAGTCACAGAGCTGAGGCTAGAGCGGACTTCGTCCTGGCAGGAAGAAGCCACCTATATCCAAGAGATCACCACAGCTGATGGCCAGACAGTACAGCATCTGGTTACCTCTGACAACCAGGTGAGCACCTGCTCAGCCAGGAGAGCCCGCCCTGCCCCTCCCCCCAGACTCCACTCTGGGGAGGACCAGTACTTCCCCAACCACTCCTCTCAGGGTCTGTGCGGCTGCCATCGTTGATGGTGGGTGACCCTGGCCCCCTGCTCGATCTTCCTGGTTCAGCAGGGCCCCCAGCGCCTGCCTCTTCTCTACCCTTCTCCAGGTACAATACATCATCTCCCAGGACGGTGTCCAGCACCTGCTCCCCCAGGAATATGTCGTGGTTCCAGAGGGCCATCACATCCAGGTGGGCCAGGCCTGGGCAGGGATGGGAAAGAGGGGAGGGGGGGGGACAGCCTCCTCAATCACCAGATCGGCTTCCTCTCTCCAGGTACAGGAAGGCCAGATCACACACATCCAGTATGAACAGGGGGCCCCGTTCCTCCAGGAGTCCCAGGTAGGACCTTTGGGGAATCGTGAGGAGTTGGGGCACAGGCAGTACTCCTCCAAGGCCACATCTCACTGGCTTCTCCCCTCTAGATCCAGTATGTGCCCGTGTCCCCAGGCCAGCAGCTTGTCACACAGGCCCAACTGGAGGCGGCAGCACACTCAGCAGTCACAGGTATGGGGTGGGACCCTGAAAACCATGGGGACCCAGGCCCAGCTTCTGGGGCCTCAGGCTCACCGTCCTTTCCCCTCCCCTGGCAGCGGTGGCCGATGCTGCTATGGCCCAAGCCCAGGGCCTGTTTGGCACCGAAGAGGCAGTGCCTGAACACATCCAACAGCTGCAGCACCAGGGCATCGAGTACGACGTCATCACCCTGACCGATGACTGAGCCCCAAGGGCCCAACGCAGACCGTGGATATTGGGGCCAGCCATATTAGGGGTGGGGGTACCCAGTGGGACTCACCTCCCTGTTCCACCTAGGGTCTCCAGACACTGGGCAGCCAGCATCCTGTCACTCTAAGAGAGCCAGACCTGTGCTGCTGGCTTTAGGGGACAGCCATGGGCCCCAGCCAGGACATGCTGGGTGCCCTAGCCTGCAGGCAGGCTTTGGGGAGAAAAATTTATTTTTGTTTGGATGGACCCACTGGCCCCTCAGTCTCAATAAAGGGACCAGAGTCCAGTCCTGACCATCTTACTTTGTCCGCAAGGACTTGGGAAACAGAGGAAGAGCCTGTCACAGCTCCCAGGAGCTGCCAAGCCCCACAGTGCGGCCTGCCCGGCCTCTCAAAGTGCAGTGGCCCGACAGCAGGGCAGGCCCTTGGGGCAGAGGCCTGATACTGGGACAGATGGCTGAGCTGGTAAGAGCCCCCTCACCCCCCACCCCCCAGCACCCTCAGACCCTCTTCCTCCCCTGGGCTCCAGGGGAACATCTGCTCCATGCCTAGAGGTCCTCAGGACAGCTCAGCCGGGTGCCTGTCTGTACAGAGGCCATACCCTGAAGCCCATGGTGGCTCAGAGCTGCTCTTCCTCCTGACCCTTGATTGTGAAGCATACCTGGCTGCTCACTCACTGTGGTGGCTGCAGGTCAAGCAGGAGTCTAGCTCGCTACCTGGGCACAGCCTCCCGTCCTCTGCTCCCTAGAGGTACGAGGGCAGGCCTGGCTGTGGGAGTCTGGGACTTACAGATGGATGGTGCTGGGCTCTGGACTCTTCAGACCCGATGGACACAGGCAGAGGCCACCAGGGACCCAACTGTGGGGTCAGCAGGGTGAGAAGTTAGACACTGGATCCCGGGGCTGGGGCGTGGAGGCCCAGGGGTCCAGAAGGTGAGCCTGAATGTAGAGGGTGTGGTCCCAGGACTAGCTCCAGACTCTCCGCCTTCTCTGCCCTCAAGACCCTCACGCGTTCTTAGGGAGGCTTCTGTATTTCCTTTTACAAATGAAACGAGGTGGCAATAAGATGGTATGGGTGAGGGGGTGGGGGGTGGGTAGGAAGGGAAGGGATGGGGCCTATTTACACGGGAGCTGGAGCAAGTTTGAGGTGAGGAGTCAGGGGATCGGGCAGGGAGGGGGAGCCCTGGCAGAGCCATAATCTTCCTATGTCACTGGCAGCCTGAGTCCTGCTGCCACCTCAGGGGGAGGGTCCTGGGGTCTGCTCAGCCCCAAGAGGCCCAAGTCCCAGCCGTCCGTACCAGCACCCTGGGGCTCCTCCTCCCCGCAGGATGTGTTAAGTGGGGTGAGGCTCGCGGCTGGGGCCCTGCTCGCGGCCGGAGTCCCGGTCCTTGTTCTCGGAGGAAGACGACGAGGAACTGGAGCCGTGGCTGCGGCCTGACTGCCGGTAGGCGGTGCTCAGCTCCTGCAGCCGCTCAGGCGTCGGCCCCCACTTGGCAAAGCCAGGGTCGTTCTGTAGGAAGAGCACGGCCGTGTTGTGGACGGCCTTGTAGTGCATTTCCTCCCTGTGGGCAAAGGAGCAGCTCAGGGTGGGGCTTGGCCCGGCCCGATCGGCCAGCCCTCCTGCCCCTGCCCTCCCCAGGCACCCACTTCTTGCAGACGTGCTGGGAGCCACTGCGGTACTCGTGCTCAAAGGCAGGCAGGACCAGCTGGTGGCGTTTGAAGCGGCTCTGCTCCATGCGGGTGAGCGCCGGTGTGGGGGGTTCTCGCCACTCCGGGATAAACACGATGAAGGACAGGGGCTCCGGGGAGCTCTCGAGCAGTTTCTGTGGGAGGGGGTATGGGGTGGACATCAGAGGCTGCCCTCCGGGTGGCTGGCGATCCCGCTTGCCAACCTACCCCACCCCCACCGCCAGCAGCACACCCACCTCAAAGTGAGAGACCATGGCATCCATGAGTTCCTCGCAGAACGGAGGGTTGGCCTCAAAGGAACCACTCAGCGGGGAAAAATCCAGGCAGGGCCTGGGGATGGAGGTGAGCACTCTAAGTCCTGCCAGAATCCCAGCCCTCAACCGGAAACAGGTGCCGCCCCCACCTCGTTGAAAGGATGGCCCTGGTCAGGCCACAGGCCAACATTCACCCTTAATTCATCCTGGGACAAGGTGTGGCCGACTCCACTGGAGTGCTGAGGACGGAGAGGCTCGGGCTGGGCAGCCAAGTCCACCAGGCTGCTTAGTGGAATGGCTGGAGCTCAGATCCAGTTCGAGCCCCGCTGCCACCACAGCACAAGCCACAGCCAGGAGTTCCCAGCTGCTGTGCTTTCCCTCTTGCTGGCCCAGGCTGGTCTTCCTACTGGAAGCTGTGTCCCCTTTCACCCATGCTCACCCCCCTCCAACACCCCACATTAGTCTGTAAGGTCCCCGAGGTCTGAATGATCTCTGAGCTCTGAATTACCACTTCCCATGCCTCTCAGTGCCAGGAACCACGTGCTCCTATCCCAGCCTGGGCTTATTCACAGAGAAACCCACAAGATGAGTTAGGGACTATCACAGGCTCCCGAAGTTCAGCGAGAAGTCCAAGGTCACACAGCTAGCAAGGGGTGAAGGCAGGGACTACACCCAACACTGCCCAATCCCAAGTAGATGGCCCAGGTGCAATCTATGCTCTAGAGGACCCCTTCCAGGGCCTGGGCAGAAGGGTCCCAGCAGCCCCTGGCTCTCACCCGCGGGAGCCGAAGTAGCCATCTGTGTCTGGGAAGGCAGAGCAGTACTGGCGGAAGTAGCAGTTGAGGGGCGAGGCGAAGCACTCAAAGCTGACACTGAAGAGCCGGTGGAGGGCCTCAAAGACGTGCACGGGCAGCGATCCCTGCAGGCCTGTCCCCTCGTAGAGGCCCACGCCAAACATCATCTACACAGAGGCCACGGTCAGCCTCCAGGGCTCAGCCTTCCCCCTGCGTCTAGAAGAGCCCACCCCCAGCTGCCCCAGGCCCATACCTGGTACCGTCGGAGAAGACACCAGACTCGGGGCAGGAACCGCTCAAAGGCAGAGTCGTCAATGCAGCTGTAGCGGTAAAGCAGCCACTGTGGGACAGAGAGCAAGGCCCTTACACAGCGGCCCCTCACTCCCTCATAACTGGCCTCTTGCTGAGGACGCTGGGTCAAGGAGGAGGCAGCCCTCACTTCTTGCACCTGTGGGGACCTGCCTCCCCTTCACCCTAGCTCTTACCAGCTTGCTGAAGTAGTTGCGGCTGACCTTGACCATCTCCCCCTTATACCGGATGCAGACCACGTTATTCTCCATATGCATCTCCACGCTGGGCATGGGGGGCGCAGACACGGCCAGCCGGACCGGGTAACAGTACACCAGGCGGGGCTCCACTTCTGGGGCCTCCACCTCCTCTGTGGGCAGGGAGAGCAATGAGGGGCCTCCCTGCAGCGGCTCTGCTAATCCTCACCCCGGACGGACGGCCTCTGCCCCCTGTGTGCTCACACACGTACCCCAGTAACCAAGGGAGGTAAGTCTAATCCCACGGAGGAGCAGAATGCAGCTCAGATGGTTTGAGAACAAAGTTCTTGGCAGGGGCAAGAACTGGTGGCCTGTGTCGCCATGCTGCATACCGACACAAACCCCCGGTTGGCCACGTGGAAGTAGAACTGTGGCACGTCCGTGATTACGGTACCCTACTTAGGCATCTTTTTGGGTCAACCGCTTCGAATTACCACTGAGTTCTCGTATGATCCTAAGGCTGGGTATTAGCCTGCAGGGTGGGGGAACCCGGGCTTGCAGAAAGCAGCTGTAATTGCAAGTCGTCCACCTAACTGCTTACCCCCGGCCTGTCGTGTCCACCACCTTCCAGCTCCCCCTTTCCCAACCCTTCTCCAGTTCCTGGAGGAGTGCTGGGAACCCTGCACCGAAAGACAGCAGGGCCTGCCTCAGACACTGCTGGGAGAAACGGGCTTGCCCAAACCAGCCGTGGCCTAGAGGCTCAGCCTTGCTTGTCCCTTCACTCAGGGCCTGGGGTACACCGTTGACGGCATCACAGCTGGCTCCCTGCCACTGGCCCCTCACCTGGGATGTTGTTTTCCTTGAGGATGGCCAGGTGCTTCTCTCGGATCCGTTTGACATACTCCAGGGAGATGTGGTAGATCTTACTGCAGATGCCCTCCACGGAGTCCTTGGCCGCGGCTGAGACGTGGGGGCCACACTGCCTCCGCAGATGCTCCAGGCGGTCCTGGAGGAGACACTCTTGATCAGGGCTCTAGGTGGCTGTTGAGGGAGGGCTGGTGGGTTCTAGCAGTCCTCGCTTTGAAACCGGCTGTTACTTACTAGCTGTGTCACTTGGACAAGTCCCTTGGCATCTCTGAATCTTAATTCCTCTACTGTTAAGGGAACACACAGTACTTACCTGATAAGGCAGTTTAAGTATTAAATGTGATCATTCCCATTAAGGGCTTACCAAGCCCCTGGCATACAGCAAGTGTCCGATAAATGCCAGCACCTATGGTTGGGGTTACACTGTGCCAGATCCCATGATAATTGCTGGGGAAACACACAAACCAGGCACAGTCCCCGCTTATAAAGCATTTGCCAACTATCAGGGAGAGATACCATTACAAAACGGGGTCCTTGGTCATTGCAGATTTGAAATTTGAGCTTTTAGCAACTTGCAAGGATTTAACTAGGCATTTGTAATTTTGCTGAATCACACGTGTGAAAGTGATGAGTGAAAATGAGTCACTCTGGCTAGTGAGCACACCTACCTTTGTCACTCTACGTGTCAAGTACAGTTACTATCGTGAAGTGCGAAACCTTGTCTCTTGTGAAAAATGGTCCTGAAAAGAAAGCCCATTGCTAGTGCTGGTGGACAGTTAGAGAAGTGACGGGTCTGGGCCAGAAAACAGAACTGTTGTGGACACAGTAAAGTAGGGAAATGAGTCTTGTGCCAGCTCGTAACTGTGATGAGCACACACACCCCAGAAAAGGCAGTCTGTCAATCTGTGTCCAAAAATCTATTCAAGGGAGATGCTGAACGTTAAGTTGAAAAAGCTACTTATGGTGTGTGGCTGAGCACGGGATTCTGTTAAGAACCTTAATGAAGAGAGTCTTTTAGGAGAGAGCCAGGAACCTGGACAAACCTCTCTACATGCAGGAGTTTAGGGACCAATGAGCATCAAAGGTTTACTGAAGTGCACAGGAACAGGATGCTGTGGGGCTCCGCCTGGCCTGGGCAGGCAGAGTGGGCTTCTTGGAGGAAGCAACCCCAGAGCCTTTCCACAGGCCTCCTTACCCGGGGCCACTCACCATGTAGTCCTCCTTAGAGGCAGAGTGGTCCTTCCGCAGCCAGCTGAAGGTGTCCTCCACGTTCCACTTGACCACCTTCCTGCTGTCGGGGGACGCACTCCTGCCGGTGGAGGGAGCTTTCAGGCATCTGTCCACACTCTACTCCTCCCACCCCACCTGCAGTGACATTCGGGCTCTTGTTCTGCCTCTGGGAGCCAGCCCTCCTCCTGCCACCGAGCGCAATGACTGCACTCCATTAGATGGGCCACATGGCCCAGGACCTCCCCACTCTGATCACACACCCAGCTTGCTGGGGGCAGGAGAGAGCAAACCTGGATTCGATGAGCCGCCTAGCAGCCTCTGCATATTTAAAGAGCAGGCGCTTGGCTTCCTCCCGGAACTTGATTCGGGATAACCTGGGACAGAGAACGGATAGAGTTAGGACCCTTCGATGCAGAACTGGCTACACAACCCTTAGCTGGCCCCAGCTGCGCAGGTGTACCTGATGGGAATGTCATTCATGATTTCGCGAAACATGGAGGGCGACACGACCGGTTCACAGTTGCTCGGCAACAGGGGGTCAGAACCTTTGTCCACGACCTTGCGCTCCAGCATCCAGCGGTTGAAGGACTCTCGAGGGGGCTCGATGCCTGCAGGACAGAAGAGCTGGTGAAGGTCTGGCTTTAGACAGGAGGCATCGTGTGGAAACTGGAGGTGCAACAGTGAATGACAGCCTGTTAAGTCAGGAGCTCATGTTCCAGGCAACACCTCCCAAAGTATATTCTAAGAATCGCTAGTTTTATAAAGGGTGTTGTTAGATGATCCTTAGGGTAAAAGGGGAAAAGAGAAACACTATATTCCAGCAAAGTTAAGCAGGCTTATTTACTAATTAATAAAAGCTGCAGTTTACTGAGGACTTTCCATTCCTCTTACTCCTAGTAGTAGCAAGGCCATCAGGACAGATACTTCTGTTTTTGTATCACAGATACATAAAAAGGCTTCAAATGATACCTGGCAAACGAAGCACTCTGGAAGTGTTAACGATTCCTTTTGTAGTTACTGACGCCAGCCACCCTTTCTGGAAGCGGTTAGAGGAGCTGGGGCTCCAAGCAGGCCTGTCCCCATCCACTGCTTATGCTCTGGGCCACTAGGCTCCCCTGCACCATTCCCCAAGCCCGGTTCTTGCTCGCAGCAGGTGGAAACAGAGCTCCGGGGCCCCGGAGGCAGTTACCCTCTCGCTGCTGGCACAGCTCCCGATAGTGCTGCCGAAGCTTGAGGATGAGCTGGGAGCGCAGCAGCTCCACCTCGGGGTGCGGGGGCAGCACCTCTGAAGGCCCCCGGTGCTTGATGACCGCGTTGGTCTGGATGTCCAGATCCCAGTACACCCTTGGGGCACAGAAAAGAGCAACGAGGACAGTAGAGGAAAGGGAAGGAGGGCTGCCCTGGCTGCCACCACACCCCAGTCTCCCAGGCACCTCCCAGGCACGCAGGCCGCATCAGTGCGTGCCCCCAAGGGACTATAGCAGGGACTCACTCTGTGGGCCGGAGGAGAGCCGCCTGCTGTTTATCTTCAGGGGATGTCCCCCACATCTTCAGTGTTGGGGTTCCTGGGATACTGGGGGAGCTAGGCACCGATGGGCCCGTGGGTGTTACAGGGATTTCAATCTGGAGCAAAAAAGGAGAAGGCATCAGGGTCAGGAGAGTCAGCCTATGGTTCCAGCGCCAAACCCAGTGAGCTGTGCCCAGGCCCCGCTCCTGACCGAACTGCCACTGCCCGGCCTTTGCAGGGAAGCTGCTGGCTGCCCGCCTGGCTTGGCCACTTGCCAGCCAGGTCCTCAGAGCCCGCCAGCACTCACCTTGGGCTTCTTCACACCATTGCCGCTTGGCTGCTCTTCCGAGAGCTGCCGCTTTCGGGGCTTGTTCTCAGCCGGGGGGGTTTCCACCAAACTGGAGTCTTGGGGCAGTGGGGTCGCATTCAGCCCCAAAGGGTCCGACTGGTGGAGGGAGACCAGCAGAATTGCAACCGGGGCCAGTGGGTTAGGAGTCCCGGTAATACGGAATCCTGATGCCCTCCTGACCCCTGCTCCTACTGCTCAGAGACTGGGATGCAGAAAGAACGCTGGGCTCCAGTCCCACTGGCTGCTTGCAACCATGTGACCTTGGCGGAGTTCCATCCTGTCCTAATTCCCTCACATTCAAAATGGCCCTCCTGCTAAACAGGCCCAACCTCCCACTGGGAAGACGATTAAATGAGTCAGTGAATATGACCAGCTTAACATGACCTCTGGTATGAGATAAACACACTGTACACATTGATTTCTTAAATACCAGAGAGTCAGGAATAAAGGAAAGAGTCAAGAAATGCTTGTTTTTGAAAAAGCAAGGCCCTGTGGGTAGAATGCCTTTGGCAACACCAAAAAGCATGATGGTAGGCAGGGTGGCCCTGAGATCCTAAGAGGTTTGAGTCCAGCTCTGCCTCTTACTGGCTTGAGGTCTCAGGCCAATCATTTCCCATCTCTGAGCCTCAGTGTCTTCATCTGCAAAACGGGAGTGCCAACTAGCTTGATTATGCCCAGAAAAAAAAGTTCACCCCAACTGACAGGGATCCAAAAGCCCACGTTTCTGGCAGACGGCCCGTGTTGCTACTTCCCTATCACATTGACCTTTCCACTTCTAGAACGTGCTTCTCCCCTCTTAACAACTTTTCTCTTTGCTAACTCTGTCACCTTAAATGCTAATTCAAAGAGACGCTTTCCTGTCCCGTCCTGTCCACTCCCCTCCCCCAAACTGGACCATGGTCCCTGCTGTACTCTAACACTATTCTTCACACACAAGCCAAATGTAATTGTACTGGCCCCTCAGTAGACTGTGGGCCCCCCGAGAGTACAAGGGAACGACCATGTCTGTCTTGGCTCACAACTGCATTACAGGCACAGTAACAGGTAGTTCAATATCACATACTATTTACAATTGTCTCTTTACAGGTCAGTCTCCCCTATTTGAGTACAGGTTCCTTGCTAGCAGGGAATAGGTCTTCTCTCGTGTATCACTATATCCCCAGGTCCCAACACAGGACTAGGCTCATAATAGCTGCTCAAGATATGTCTGGGGGAAGGCCCAGACGCCAGAAGCTGCTTTGAGACCCCTGCCCTAGGCTGGCACTCACAATCACGTCATGTTGGCCCAGCACAGGCATCTCCCACAGGGACTGGTTGGTAAATCGGTTGAAGTAGTAGGGACGGTTCTCCCTCCGGCTCCAGCACTTCTCCCAGCCCGCGTGCACCAGCTCCTCTGCAAACAAGCATGGAACCCGGCCAGGGTCAGGGCTGCTCCTGGGGCATCTTTCCTACCCCACCACCCTACCCTGCCCCTCGCCAGTACCTGGGAGGTCCTGCACCAGGCGGATGGGCTTTGGAGAACAGGGCTGGCTCTGATTGGAGGTGCCCGGGGAGTGACTCAGCAGGGACGCTTCCTCCCGGGGGCTGCCGTGATTCTCATTGGCCATCTCCGCACCCACACCGGACCTGCCACACAGAGGACCGAAGGGTGTTAGGCCAGCAGGGTGTGGAGGTCAGCTCCACCCCCAGCCCCCACCCACCAATTACAACCCACTGAGGGCCCCCCTGACCACTTGTAGATCTGAAAAAAGTCACTCTGGTCCTGTCCTGGAGGGCCAGTGTGGTACCACGGGAGCCCTGGGACCAAAGTTGCAGTTCTCTCAACTGTTAAAATGGGTGCACTCCTGTTGCTCCTTCTGCCTGAAATGCTCTCCCCAGTTCTCTGCCTGGCTTGTCACTATGTTCACATGCTCCAGGAAGCCTTCCTAGGCTCTCCCTTCCCAAAGCTGGGTGGTCAGAGCCCATCCGCAGGGCCATGAACACCTCCACCGTAGCACTCAGTCTGGTCTATGAACTGGATTTGTCTCCCCATCAGACTGTCAGAACTCCCAGGGCTAGGAACTGGGTCCAGTTCTCTCCAGTGCTCAGCATGGTACCTGGACCCAACAGGAACTCCATTCATTCTGCAAATATTTACAAAGCACAGAGTGCCACAGAAGACAGAACAGGGTCTGCCCTTGGGAAGCAATTCCCACAAAAAAGAACAGTAAATCCTCCTCTCCCCTGTTCCTATCCAGTAAAATCTAACTGGAACGAAGTGCAGCCCAGAGTGGGCCATGGCATCTAACTGGCTGCTTCATTCTACACTTCAGGGCAGGAAACAATCTGTTGCTAAAGAAACCAGTGGGACTGAGAAGAAACATCTAATTCAGTCCTTCCTAATCCCCAGGTGAAAATTTACCAGGAAGCAGGTCAGCTCCTTCAGATTTGTATTCTCCACTACCTTCGCCCAAAGCACACCCAGCACGAGCCTCAATGGCCAAAGTGGTTCCCAATCTGGCTGTTTGACTTCTAGGGGCCCAACTGAGATTGAACTGGTAATCCCAAAGTTGTTTTCAATATGCCACAGCACCCAAAGAAACATTTACCCACAAAAAGAGCACGAAGCCATGTTTAACCATCAGTTATCTTTGCTTGCTGACATTTTATCAACTCCTTGTGGTCACACTGATTATCTCATGCTGATCAGAAGCTCTGATTGGCTGTTGACGACATCATAGGAATCACTGGGACATTAATTTTATTGTACACTCAGTCATAGATGTCTTTGTTAATTTGGAAAGAGAAAAGTGAATGGTTACTTTGTCAGTACAGTTTGGCAGATAAAAAATGCACGGAGCAAGAGGACATACATACAACCAAAGGGGGCCATGATAACAAAAAGGTTCGGAACCACTAACCAAGGGGAGAAAAAGCTTGATTCTCTGGGTAGGAGGGATTCCCGATGCCTTGGGGCTGAGCCCACAGGTCTCAAGGCTGGACAAGGTCCCTCTTTTTCTCACCCTCTGGGGTCTGCAATGCTAGCATGAGAGGGTTTTCTTCTCCAACCAGGTGGACCCCCACGTCACAGGGTCCAACAGAGGCAGGGGGAGGCCTGCAGGAAGGCTCAGCACAGGTGGGTGGCCGGGTCAGCAGTGGAGTGAACGGGGGCCCAGGGACCTCCTCGCATCAGCAACTGCAGAGCAAATAGAAGAGAGAGTCACAGACCTGTGAAATGCTGCACAGCAGGGACAAAATAAGAGGGGCAATGACACAGCAAGTTGGGAGCCCCCAGGACAAGGCAGGAGACACTGTGGGAGATCTGGGGATTCAAGGGATGAAATGGTACTTCTCAAGGTTCCCAAACCAAAACATTTCACGGACTTGTCGCCTGAAGTCACATGGGCTCCGGGATGAGGAGGGCCCTAAGCCTGGTTTAATGCTCCACTGTTACTGTCTTTGAAATTTTAAATAAATTTTTAACAGAGGGGACCCACATTTTCATTTTGCACACGGGACCCCACAAATTGTGTAGCTGCTCCTATCAACCAAAATATCCCTAAGATAAAAGTGAACATATAGTTGTCCCTTAACAACATGGGTCCAAACCACATGGGTCCACTTACACATGGCTTTTTTTCAACATGATACAGCGCTATAAATGTATTTACTTGTCCTTATGATTTTCTTAACATTTTCTTTGCTCTAGCTCATTTTAAAAATACAGTATATAATTCATATAACATACAAAACATGTGTTCACCGACTGCTTATGTTGCCATAAAGGCTTCTGGTTAACTGCAGGCTATTAGTGAAATTTTGGGGAGTCCAAAGTTATACTGGGATTTTCCACTGCACTGGAGATCAGTGCCCCTAACTCTTGTGTTGTTCAAGGGTCAACTGTACTTATCACAGATCAGAGGCCACAAAAAACACGTTTCTTGGAATCAATCTTTTAACACGTTACATGCAAATGCATTACATAACTTGGCATGTTCAACTTTATTGAAAAGTATTTTGCCAATAAATATCGTGTGACGTTGAGGCACCACGTAGCTGAACCATGCACAGGCAGCACATGCAGCCCAGCTCGGTGAGGCCAAACAGGGACACTGCAGTGTTTCCAAAACCCGTATCACAGCCATCAGAGGGCCTGTAATAGAAATCCAGATTCCCGCCCGTCCCTCACCTCACATCGTAGGAGTCAGAAATGGAGAAGGGAGACACACAAGAATTTGTATTTTTTTAAACGCACTCCAGAGGTGGGACTGGGAAACAGGATGACAAATTTTACACCAGTTCAAACCTTTACCAATTTTTTACGATTAAAACTTTTTTCTTAATTTCCCAGGTGATTTGGAAGCAGCGGGTTGGTGGCCAAAGAACCTGCTCTGGGTGTGGACAGACCCGGGGTCCAGATCCTTCTGCCGCGCGTTCCGACTTACAAACAGGAATGACTCGATCTCTATGGTCTCTACACGTAGAGTCTAGTATATTGTACACTTTAAGTAAGAAATAACTCTATTATTAAGATAACGTTTTTATTTATCCTGAGGTTTCCCGGCCCCTCGCATACCACAGTTAGTGCCGATCAGCTTAATAAACAACTGTATCTGCGCAACCGGAGGAACCCACCAGAAGGAAAAGAACCCGGTTACGGGATTGGAAGGCGGGGCGGGACCATCTCAGTAATGTGCCAATCAGAACCCTCCAAACCAATAGGGCGGAGTCAAAGAACTTGCAAAATGCGCAGGCGCGGGGGCCACAAGAGACGGGGACTACACCCCCCCCCACCGCCAGCGCGCGCACCCTTTCCCTTCCCCTCCCCCCAAACCCCAGCGGGGGCGGGCTGTTTGGCGCGCGCGCGCCGGCCCATCTCCCGGGCTCCGCCCCCCGCCCCACCGCGCGCTCCCGCCCCCGGGCTGAGGCGACTCAGAGTCGGAGCCCGACACAAAGGCGGTGGCGGCGGCAGCGGCGGAGGGGCCCTAGAGGCCGCTCCGCCCGCGCTCTCCGGGCCCACCTCCCTCACCCAAGCTACCGGCCCGGCCGCCCACCCGCGGGCCTAAGATGGCGGCGGCGGCAGAGACAGGGCAAGCGGTGGCCCCGAGCGGAAAGCGCCGGAGGGGCCACCGCAGCCCGGCTTCGGATCCCCGGAACCCGGAGCGGCTCGCGGCGGGACCATGGCTTCCTGGGGCTCTTACCTGCCCGGAGCGGACTGGAGGGGACGCGGCTACACGTTCTGCTCGACCTCCCGTTTTGCCGCCTCCGCCTCGCCCTCCCCAGCGCCGCTGCCGCCATCTTGTGTCCCGGGCCGGGACTCCGCGCTGCGCATGCGCCGGTACCGCCTCTGAGGGACCTCGCCGCTGCCGCGCCGCCATCTTGAGTGTGGCAGAACCGGCCGACTCCTCAGAGCCTGCTTGCTTTCGGCCCCTTCCCTTCCTCCCGTCCTTCCCTGCTATTCCATGCGGTCTCAGGAGGGCAGGGCAGCTTTGCGGGCCGTGGGGTGTGAACTGAGGAAGGAACGAACTCACAAGCACGCTCTCCTGCCTCTGTTTCCCCCGCGAGCACACCCGCTGGGGCTGGAGGACCTAGGTGGGAGGTGCACCTACGGGGCCGAACTGAGTGTGCGCACCGGGGGGCGCGGGGCGGGCTGGGAACCTGCGGGCGCTCGGCAAAGACGCCGGCCCGGGGGCGGGGTTGTGGTGACGCAGCTCTGGGCGTAGCCGGGGCCTGGGTCCTAGTTCCGGCGCGGCTGTGTCATTGATGTCCAGTCGCTTACCCTCTCTGAGCATCTGTCAAGAATATTTTCCAGCCATTTTCTATGTCGAGGCTGCATGCAAATCGAATCTTCTCCCAGGATGAGGCTTCACAAGTTACAGTGTTCCTGGGTAGAAGAAACTTAAAACAGCCGTGGGAGCCATAATAAAGGTGGCTTTGGCGAAGTTAGGAATGCAACTAAAATGCATCAGTGGGGCTCTTCCAACACTGACCTATCTATGGCTACTAATTGCGGTGCAAAGCCTCACTGAGACCTCAGACCAGCCATAAATGCCCAGCAGGAGATACAGTTGCTAGGTTCCCCTACGCGCGGCTCCCTACAGGATTCTTGGGCAGAGGCTGTCAAACGACTCAATAGCCCCACCTCCGTCGGGCCTCCTTAGTAAACTGACCTCAACAGTGGCTTGAGACGAACACAAGGTTGCCATCTGCCGTTCGCCTTGCATTTCCCAAGTGGAACCAGAGACTGCAGGTACCCGGGCTGGGCTGCGCGCAGCCTCCGGTGTGCATGATGCCTGGCCCCGTGCAGCTGGGTGGGGGTGGGGGAGTGTCAGCAAAACGCGAGGCAAATAGTATGAACTAGGGTGCTCATGAGTCTGGCTGGTTCAGACCTGTATCCTCCGCCCTGGACGTGTGGCCTTGAAGGAGTTGTTCGACATCTTTAAGCTGTAGTTTTCTGTAATGGAAGAGAGGTCCACCTGGCGAGAACTGAGATGGAGTCTGTAAAGTACTCAGCACGTGTGGGACCTGGCATTTAATAAATGTTAGCTGTTACGTCTCACGGGGTTGTGAGGGTTTCTCCAAATAGATTTGAGCCTTCCCCAAATACACCTGCTCCGGATAGGCCCGG